TGTAGCGCCCGTCATGTTCTCTCCGGTTGCAGATGTAGCACCCGTCATGTTGGCTCCTCTTACAGATGTAGCACGCGTCACAATATCTCCTGCCAACACATGTTACAGATGTAGCACCCGTCATATTGTCTCCTGTTTCAGATGTAGCTCCCATCATGATGCCTCCTGTTACAGATGTAGCATCCGTCACAATATCTCCTGCCAACAAATGTTACAGATGTAGCACCCGTCAAGTTGTCTCCTGTTACAGATGTAGAACCCGTCATGATATCTCCTGCCAACACATGTGGCATCAATCAAAACATTTCCTGTTACCACATGTGATATCCGTCAAGATATTCTTTTACAGATGTAGCACCCGTCTTGTTATCTGATGTAGCACCCGTCATGTTGTCTCCTATTACAGATGTAGAACCCGTCATGATATCTCCTGCCAACACATGTGACACTTGTTCCGTTGTCTCCTGTTACAGGTAGCACCCGTCACGATATCTCCTGTTATCACATGTGGTCTCCTGTTACAGAAGTAGCACCCGTCATGTTGTCCCCTGTTACAGATGTAGCACCCGGCATGTTGTCTCCTGTTACAGATGAAGCACGCGTCGTATTGTCTCCTGTTACAGATGTAGTACCCTTCACGATGTACTTCCAACACATGTGGCACTTGGTCCGTTGTCTCCTGATACAGATGTAACACCCGTCATGTTATCTCCTGTTACAGATGTGGTACTTGTTCCGTTGTCTCCTGCTACAGATGTAGCACCCGTCATGTTGGCTCCTGTTACAGATGTAGCACGCGTCCCAATATCTCCTGCCAACACATGTTGTCTCCTGTTACAGATGTGGTACTTGTTCCGTTGTCTCCTGTTACAGATGTAGCACCCGTCATGTTGTCTCCTATTACAGATGTAGCACCCGTCATGATATCTCCTGCCAACACATGTGGCATCAATCAAAACATTTCCTGTTACCACATGTGATATCCGTCAAGATATTCCTGTCGCCACATGCGGCACCCATTACGATAACTCCTGTTCCCGCATGAGTCACCCGTCACTATATCGCTTGTAACCACATGTTGTGCCAATCAATACGTCTCCTGTCATTACATATGTGGTACCTGACACAATATACAAATGTATTTTTTCACAACATGTGGTACCCATCATGACGTCGCCTGTCAACGCCTGTGTCACCTGTCATTATAATTCCTGGAGTGTTTTTGGAGTATTTAATCACAGTAAATTTATGTAACTGTGTGAGCAAAAATAGGTTGCAATCCCTTTTATATCAGAACAACGATAAAGAAAACATTTATCGCCGAAACAAATAATTAATTTGGTAAATGACATCTTTCATGATCCACAACCACTTAAGCAAGTATGCCAATCGAAAATGTGAAATGTTATCCCAGCTTTCCAGGAGCATGAACATACATCTGTTGTAATTTCAATACAGAATGTGATGTGAGTTTTGTGATAATAGTGCACGGTTTGATAACACTTGTTGTCAAAGTTGTTTATATATCATCTATGTGTGTATTAATTGTTCACACTAATTAGAAACGCAACGCTTTGGATACGGTTGTAGCCCTGACTACATACTTATGTTAACTGGTGTCAATGGGCTCACCTTCACTAAATCACTTTGTAATGATACTGTTCCTACATATGCATGCTATTGCATTGGGTTGTAAGTCGGCGGCAGATACAGTATATTTGTACTGTATCGATAGCTCGAAGACATTTTCTTTTTTTAAAAGTATTTAAACGCCCCTCAATATCAGTGAATCATCATTTATTACGACAATGTTTTAATGAACAAGTTTCACCTGATATATGTGTGATTGAAGTTTCACCTGATATATGTGTGGTTGAAGTTTCACCTGATATGTGTGATTGAAGTTTCACATGATATGTGTGATTGAAGTTTCACCTGATACATTGTATGTGTGATTGAAGTTTCACCTGATATATGTGTGATTGACGTTTCACCTGATATATGTGTGATTTAGGGGAAAGTACGTTGTTTTTCGTGTCTATACTGGCGATTAGAACATGGACTTTTGTTTAAACACTCGACCTATCGCTCTCGGGTTCAAACCCAAAGTTCATGTTCTAATCGACAGTATAGACACGAAAAACAACGTACTATCCCCATTCTAACACACCTTAACAAATATACTACGCTAATATGGTTAGAAACAATGTATTTCCTTGTACAAAAGTACGTAGTAAAATACTTTGTGACCTGAACTGGCGACGTGTCATTCTGCAGCGGACTGACCAATCGGAAAGAAGCTTTCAAAAGTCGGTCATTTGGCCCCGCCCATACTGGCGCGTCCTGTTACCACGACACGTTTATACGACACATTTGGATTGATATTGACCAAGTTCTTACATTTCCATGTCAGTATGCATACCAATCTGTGATTATCAACACAATCGGTGATTATTTGTATAGATTTGTGAAGAGTTTTGTGTAAATGCATGCGACACGAAATGTTTCATTTGATTTCGGATTTAAATAGATGCCTTCACACGGATGGAACACAGGGGTACGTTACAAATGTCTGAAATACACACATGCTATACTGTTATGGGTCACAACACACATAAACATACACATGGGAAGAAGCTTCGTCAGAGCACTACCGGTAACGCCAAATTTCAAATGAAGATTTTCAACACTTACTTTTGTTATTTTTCCCAGTGATGTCTGCGGGACTAGACTCTACTCGGGGGCCTTGGGACTTTCCGTAGTATTTGGCAGTATGGTATAAAGACATGTAGAAAAGCCCTCGTCATTTCCGGGTCAGGTTCAAGTTAATCATGGCGGTAAAACTGTTAATTCCCCGAAAAAGTGCTTGATTGGATGTATTAGACGAATGATTACACAATTGATCATGATGGATTACTTAATTACAATTCAAACCGAAGCTATCGCCGCAGATCACTGTTTCGTAATTTGTAATTCTTAACGCCCAATTAGGACATGGTTATGTGTCATGTTATTTTAAATGCGTCAACATAAACTAAACTGTCGTGAATAATGTATTAGGTTTTACATTTGTTTATACCTTATACACACTAAGTTGGCCGAAGACTGGGGTACAACATAAAGTATTAAACTGTCTATACTGTAATGTACTACACGCTGAACAGTGGACTTAGACTCTCTATAAAATTAAAACCAATCAGTCGATTCGATCATGTCTCCCTTGAATGAGAAACAGAACTCCCATTAACATTTGACTGTTGTTGGCCCACAGGGATATCGTAGATAAATTGGTCATGCATAAAAATGCCAGGCGAATCGTTAAAGAGCATTAGCGGAGTCCCCCGTTCTTTGTCAGAAAGGTGGTTCTGTGGTAATGGGGTGGTACATTCCTTATGTATGAAAGATGGAATATACACAAAGAACACAACAGAATGAGACAGGCATATGGACATAAGACAGGAATGACAGGTTCGTTATCATGTTTAAGTAGTAAAATATTGCGGTGGAATGTCCGAACACAAACAATTAAATACATAGAATGGTGGCCTATATATGTGCATTATGATAGATCCTGTACGCCAGGCCACTGAGGGAATATCAAACGGTCATCGTCGTTTGCTTGTCAGAGATTTTCAACGATCACAATATCAGTTATACGAAAGGTAATAATTTAGATATTAAGTGTTGGTAATAATTTCTAAACTCGACAAAGTGTTTCGATGAAGTCGACTGATGTTGGAGTATCCTATTATGTTGGTGTGTCTTGTATTACATTAGATAAAGTTGACTGATGTTGGAGTATCCTATTACGTTGGTGTGTCTTGTATGACATTAGATAAAGTTGACTGATGTTGGAGTATCCTATTATGTTGGTGTGTCTTGTATGACATTAGATAAAGTTGACTGATGTTGGAGTATCCTATTACGTTGGTGTGTCTTGTATGACATTAGATAAAGTTGACTGATGTTGGAGTATCCTATTACGTTGGTGTGTCTTGTATGACATTAGATAAAGTTGACTGATGTTGGAGTATCCTATTACGTTGGTGTGTCTTGTATGACATTAGATAAAGTTGACTGATGTTGGAGTATCCTATTACGTTGGTGTGTCTTGTATGACATTAGATAAAGTTGACTGATGTTGGAGTATCCTATTACGTTGGTGTGTCTTGTATGACATTAGATAAAGTTGACTGATGTTGGAGTATCCTATTACGTTGGTGTGTCTTGTATGACATTAGATAAAGTTGACTGATGTTGGAGTATCCTATTACGTTGGTGTGTCTTGTATGACATTAGATAAAGTTGACTGATGTTGGAGTATCCTATTACGTTGGTGTGTCTTGTATGACATTAGATAAAGTTGACTGATGTTGGAGTATCCTATTACGTTGGTGTGTCTTGTATGACATTAGATAAAGTTGACTGATGTTGGAGTATCCTATTACGTTGGTGTGTCTTGTATGACATTAGATAAAGTTGACTGATGTTGGAGTATCCTATTACGTTGGTGTGTCTTGTATGACATTAGATAAAGTTGACTGATGTTGGAGTATCCTATTACGTTGGTGTGTCTTGTATGACATTAGATAAAGTTGACTGATGTTGGAGTATCCTATTATGTTGGTGTGTCTTGTATGACATTAGATACAGTTGACTGATGTTGGAGTATCCTATTACGTTGGTGTGTCTTGTATGACATTAGATAAAGTCGACTGATGTTGGAGTATCCTATTACGTTGGTGTGTCTTGTATGACATTAGTCTGTAGGCACGTCGTTACTCAGGCGGTTCTGCCGTAGGAGACACGCATGGAATTCTGTAATATCAGCTGTTTCACTGCATGGCTTATGGTGCACGACAAAGTTGTTCAATCGGCCTAATGAAATGCTAACTATTATCATGGGAATAATACTATTGCGTATGAATTATACTGCTCCGCTAAAGTCCTGATGAATTACTGAACTAAGATGCCAGAATAGCATGCATACAAGGCGTAGATCAGTGATGCTTTCCGTGCTGGGACTGTGCAGATTTTGATGTTTGAAACAGTTATGTCCGGATTTTGTGTGTACATCTTCTGTCGTTTCACTGGAGTATCCTTCGTTAATTTGCTCTTTGACGGATTATTGGTTAATGAGTGTGATGCAATTGGATGGAGTTATGTTTGAGATCTGACAAAAATGTCAGTAATTGTCGCTCGTAATTAATATCTATACACGCTGTCTGGGCATGCATACACACATCCTATACACACGTGAGTGCAACGAATACAAATATTGTCAAAAGGTTTTCGTTAACAACGTGATTACCAAACAATAAGAACAAAGATGTGTTTGTGAAAATGTGCAGTCACGAGTCATTGACCTTTTGTGACCTTTTTGGTGCCAGTCACGTGATTTTTCGTCATCAGACTAGGATGTTTCTGGCTTTTATGTCACTGTAACAAAAATGTGATTAATACATAATTGACGTATAATATCACTATTGATCTATTAGGAATATTCTAATCGATTCCGGTTTATGACTCGATGTGGGATAAACGTACGCCAGGAAATTGCCACTTGGATAGAAAACTGACGTAATTCCGATTCAGAAAATTCCGGATGTTTCAAGGAAATACGTCCAGCTATGTGCTGTGTTGGGTGAGACTGTGATCACGTGTCACATGATATAGGTTATGTTTTCAATTTGGAATGATTGATATTGATTGCAAGTGAATGTCAATTTGTGGATTTATTACAAAAGATACCTTGTTCGTTTAATGTCATCTAACTGGAATATGACACAACTTGTTTTGAGCTGCTATGATGTTATAAAGCATTGTGAATGTCGAATTATGGATTAGTTTCGTATAAATGCCACTGAATTTGATTGGCCGACGCCAGCTTGAAGAAACATACAATACAGGATTAAATAAGACAGAAAGAATGCGCAAGATTTGGTGCAGTTCATTGATTCAAAGGATCAATTCGTGCCACCGTCAGCATATTTTAAGATTGCACTAGAAAAAGAAACTTGAAGCAGGAGAAAAAGAAACTCCAAAATATACAAACACTTAGGATCTCATGAGGCGTAATCTGTTGAGAACAGAGTGACATGAAAGACTACCAGATAACATTTTACCCTTGAGAGAGTTCAAACGTTGTATTTGACACGAATTGAACGTCAGAAAGAAAGATACTTAATTTCGAAAACATCAAAATGAACGTAGCGTAATGGCGGCTGGGACTTATAGTTGGTAATTGTAAAGTATTCCGTTAGTGTGTTAGCGTTTAAAGCATGTTTTCCCCGCTAGTTAGCCCTTGAGTATAGACGCAGTTCCTTGACAACGAATACTTGATTCATGACATACAGAATCTTAATCGCATAGAAAGACAAGTTGCTAAATTATACTATTTATCCAACTTTCATCCCATCATAGTAACACACAAATATATCATACCATTTAACTTTGTTTTGTGAAATCTTCACATTTTTTTTTATTCCACTGTGACCGGTTTAAGTAAATTTCCACTTGCGAAATATAGTGTATAGTTTGAGAATAGCTGATCTACATATTTCCTCCAACGATTTGTTCAAAATTCCAAAAATGGTTCGGATGGACAAAGAAATCACATAACAATTTGCAGAATAAACGTTTTTGGTTACTAGAAATATCACTTTGATATTTTTAATACATTTAGTTTTGACTTTTCACGGTAGTTTAGTGTAATATAGTTGGACACGTATTATACAATGCAGGAACAAATATATACACTATAGACGGTTGTTAGTTTTGGCTGTGAATCAAATGTTTGTCAGAATACAAACTAACATTCGTCCCTTTGATAGACTGGAAACCCGGAGAGGAAGGTTTCATGTCATGGATGCATCATACATCCAGTTTGATAAGTGTTCAATACGATATATCTGCGTCACGACGGCAGACAATTCCCTGAGACGTTGAAGGAATTCCGATATTGACTTATGGGTTTAAAACAATATACTAAACGTCAAATCCACATTTTGGCATTTGACTCCCGTTAAAACCATGTATGGAATGGAAAATCTGACAAACTTTTCTAATGGAATGAAGCTTGCACCTCCTCCATCCTGCAGTACAGCCGTTTTTACAAAATCCACTAAGCGGAAAAGGACATTAAAACGTGTGGACACTATGGCACACTTAAGGCCGTTTCCACAGGTAAGTTAATTATAAGACGAGATGTCATTTCCCTTACAAGTATTTCCGAATTTACTGTTTTATGTTCACGTATATTATTCAAAATAACAATAAATCTTTTTCTTTCGAAATAGTAATATTTCTTTTGAAATAACAATCTTTCTTTTGGAATAAGAATATTTCTGTTGGAATAAAAATACCACTTTTGGAAAAACAATATTTCATTTACCTTACAGTTTTGTCCGAATTGACTGTTTTATGTTCACAGCACTGTTTCTTCTTTCTTTTCGAAATATTATTATTTCTTTTGGAATGACATCTGTCTTTTGGAAGAACAATATTTCTTTTGGAATAGCAATATTTCTTTTGGAAGAACATTATTTCTTTTGAAACAATATTTCATTTTCAATATCAATTTTTCTTTCGAAATATAATTTCATTGACAGAGATATTATATTTTATGAAACTGAGATATGTAGTGGGAATATATGTCGTAAATTACAAAATGACACACGGCGTAATACGCATCTTAACAACAAGCCTCTACAAGGTAGAGCATGCATTTGATAAAATGCGGTAATTATAAAAGTCATTACGACAAACCTATGGGTACAATTACCGATGAGCAGTAAATTAGTTTTGTTTCACAGTCTGGATATTCTGTACCTATTTATAACGGTTTTCACAGTCTGAATATTCTGTACCTATTTATAATGGTTTCATAGTCTGGATATTCTGTACCTATTTATAATGGTTTCACAGTCTGGATATTCTGTACCTATTTATAATGGTTTCATAGTCTGGATATTCTGTACCTATTTATAATGGTGTCACAGTCTGGATATTCTGTACCTATTTATAATGGTTTCATAGTCTGGATATTCTGTACCTATTTATAATGGTGTCACAGTCTAGATATTCTGTACCTATTTATAATGGTTTCACAGTCTGGATATTCTGTACCTATTTATAATGGTTTCATAGTGTGGATATTCTGTACCTTTTTATAATGGTGTCACTGTCTGGATATTCTGTACCTATTTATAATGGTTTCACAGTCTGGATATTCTGTACCTATTTATAATGGTTTCACAGTCTGGATATTCTGTACCTATTTATAATGGTTTCACAGTCTGGATATTCTGTACCTATTTATAATGGTTTCACAGTCTGGATATTCTGTACCTATTTATAATGGTTTCACAGTCTGGATATTCTGTACCTATTTATAATGGTTTCACAGTCTGGATATTCTGTACCTATTTATAATGGTGTCACAGTCTGGATATTCTGTACCTATTTATAATGGTGTCACAGTCTGGATATTCTGTACCTATTTATAATGGTGTCACAGTCTGGATATTCTGTACCTATTTATAATGGTGTCACAGTCTGGATATTCTGTACCTATTTATAATGGTGTCACAGTCTGGATATTCTGTACCTATTTATAATGGTGTCACAGTCTGGATATTCTGTACCTATTTATAATGGTGTCACAGTCTGGATATTCTGTACCTATTTATAATGGTGTCACAGTCTGGATATTCTGTACCTATTTATAATGGTGTCACAGTCTGGATATTCTGTACCTATTTATAATGGTGTCACAGTCTGGATATTCTGTACCTATTTATAATGGTGTCACAGTCTGGATATTCTGTACCTATTTATAATGGTGTCACAGTCTGGATATTCTGTACCTATTTATAATGGTGTCACAGTCTGGATATTCTGTACCTATTTATAATGGTGTCACAGTCTGGATATTCTGTACCTATTTATAATGGTGTCACAGTCTGGATATTCTGTACCTATTTATAATGGTGTCACAGTCTGGATATTCTGTACCTATTTATAATGGTGTCACAGTCTGGATATTCTGTACCTATTTATAATGGTGTCACAGTCTGGATATTCTGTACCTATTTATAATGGTGTCACAGTCTGGATATTCTGTACCTATTTATAATGGTGTCACAGTCTGGATATTCTGTACCTATTTATAATGGTGTCACAGTCTGGATATTCTGTACCTATTTATAATGGTGTCACAGTCTGGATATTCTGTACCTATTTATAATGGTGTCACAGTCTGGATATTCTGTACCTATTTATAATGGTGTCACAGTCTGGATATTCTGTACCTATTTATAATGGTGTCACAGTCTGGATATTCTGTACCTATTTATAATGGTGTCACAGTCTGGATATTCTGTACCTATTTATAATGGTGTCACAGTCTGGATATTCTGTACCTATTTATAATGGTGTCACAGTCTGGATATTCTGTACCTATTTATAATGGTGTCACAGTCTGGATATTCTGTACCTATTTATAATGGTGTCACAGTCTGGATATTCTGTACCTATTTATAATGGTGTCACAGTCTGGATATTCTGTACCTATTTATAATGGTGTCACAGTCTGGATATTCTGTACCTATTTATAATGGTGTCACAGTCTGGATATTCTGTACCTATTTATAATGGTGTCACAGTCTGGATATTCTGTACCTATTTATAATGGTGTCACAGTCTGGATATTCTGTACCTATTTATAATGGTGTCACAGTCTGGATATTCTGTACCTATTTATAATGGTTTCACAGTCTGGATATTCTGTACCTATTTATAATGGTGTCACAGTCTGGATATTCTGTACCTATTTATAATGGTTTAAATTCGAGTTTTACTCAATGTATGTTTAACGTTGCTAATACATGTAAGTGATTGCATGCTTCTTGGATTCGCGATCGATATATAACACGAATTTAGACTCGAACTAAAAGCAATCTACTTTAATTATTGTTATTTCTGCACGTTTATCGTCCACAACGGTATGACCTCGTAAGACTTCATGTAAGGCAACATGTGTCAATACCGTATTGATTCACAAAACCACGACGTGATAAATGACATTACACTAGGACTACAACGGTATTTTATAACAGCGAGCTACGTTTTTACCGGTTACCTCAAATAACCAGCCCTTGAAATGCACCTCACCAAATTATCAAGGTGATGAAAGGTTGATATTTTTTGTATGTGGCGTGGTGATACGTCTTTATGTTAAATAATTACAGACTGTTATTAAGATGAGATAGAACCAGTTTAATGGGGAAAACAGTTATACATGTATTTACAGACAATATATATACAACAATCATATATATCTGAAAGAATATCTAAGGATGACATATTGTGTCGTTTCGAAGTTTAAACCACATTTTCTTGTTACGAATATCGGGTTTTAAAGACTATGGGGTTCAATAGCAATGTCATCTTGTCATCATAATCATTATTAATTAGTTTTATAACTAAGTTTTTCAACTGCGTATGTGTGGATTATTGAATGAATTTTAATTTGATGTGTGATTTATAAAAGGTTTCAAATTTAGCTACAGCTCGTTGAAATAAAAAATGGGGGACGAATTTTTAACATCTCATACGATATAAGGTCAATATTACGACAAATTTAATTATAACAAGATTTTGAACGTTTGCGTTTAAACATATGAACTTATTCACTTCCGAAATTGCATAATGAACTATTCTAAACTTTGAATTGGGAGAAGTCATAAGTGTATTCAGGGGTTTAAGAGTAAATGGGCTTCATGACGCTATACATGAATCAAATGTGACGTCACAATTATAAATCACACTTCACGAATTACGTATTCTTTAACATGATATTGGCATGATCACTGCATTATACATTCGTTGTGTCATAAACAAAATGGTGTCCTTGTAATATCAAATATGCGTGCGCAAAAAGGCTTAACATACTGATTACCCATACAAATTGTGAATTGCTTGTGATAGCAGAAATTATATTATCTTCACTGATATTTCATAATAACACAGAATGTATATCTCTCCCTTTCGTAAGATATTGTTACTATATTTTTATATTCTAAATATTTCAATTCGTTATTTATTCCAACAAAAATGTATCAATAGTGCACTTGTATGTGTGTCTTTTACCATGTGGTGTCTGATGATAATGTCACTTTAAATAACTTCTGTACTCGAACCCAGGCAGATCGATACTTATACAGGTTAAGCGACTCACAATGGTAATCTTACGGATTATGTCCCTTACCAAAAGGCTTTTCAGATAATATAGCATATGGAACTTGTTTTCCAAATCTTTTATAATTAATTAACACACGGACTATTAATTGCTTAATAAAATAATAAACATCATACAACTGTACGTGTTAACATAATGATTATATCCTTATTAACGGTTCCAGCTATTACTTATGACGGAATATAATAGTATGTTCTCTTACTTTCTTCGATTTTCATACCCTATTCCAGGTTTTTAAGTTAGTTAAATGATGATATGTTACTGTTATAAATTTTTCCGTTCAGAAGAGTTCCAAATGAATAGTGACTGTTTATTAGTTTAATAAATGTAATCTACGAGCAACAAGAACCCATGAATCGCTATACGTTTCCAGCTGAAACGTGAATTCATCGATCTGATAAACCAACAGTAAAGTTTAGTATCTTTCACCACACCCTTACGACCACGTGGGTAACGTCTGTTTCCCTCCCCCGGGGGTTGACTGGTGCTAGTATGTACGTCATTAGACAGACGATCAGAACTCTGGTACATGTAGGTTTTGATGCAGTGTATGATGTGTATTCTCTATACATCTGTTTATAATAAGAGTCTGTGTACAATAGGGATAATTACTGCCAAATACCTGTACGACATGGTACTCATACATCGTCAATAGGCTGCGCATCGACCACGTGTAGTTCGACCAAAAAACTTCTCAGCACATGGCATGTACACTTCTCCATGTGAATCAAACTTTGTGGACGTTTTTGTTGATCTCATTATTGCTACCACACACCTATCCTTCTCCCCAACCCCATATCCGCCTCCCCAACCCAATCCTAACCCCCAACCCCTACTCCCATACTACCCCCGGCCCCTACTCCCATCCTAACCCCTGGCCCCTACTACAATCCTAACCCCCGGCCCCTACTCCCATCCTAACCGC